GGATTAATAGGAACACCTGTTCAATTTCACATTAATGCAATTATCTAATCAACCAATCACATGGCAGTTGCTTCAATGCATTTAGGGGTGTGCAGATATGCTAACATGCTGTACTTAAATTAAGTGAAGTGTTAAAAGAAAATGCCAAGTTTTTTTTTTTTTTTTAATTAGCCAATTTGCAGTCAACTGTTAATCTAGTTTAGCGTAATTCACTGGGAGTAGATGTCTAGCTATAACCTACAACTCCTAAAAAGAATGGCATTCATTTCTAGTGAATTATGCTAGGCAAATTGTGTCAGACTGGGCATTGCAAAAAGAGAGAAGAGAACCATATGCACCCTCTTATGTAACTCTGGGGTTGACTGCAAATGAGCAAACCAAAAAGCTGGTGTTTTCCTTTAACATAAGCTTGAGACTAAGACTTATTTTAGAAGACAAAACTGATAAAACCATAAAGAATTATAAAAGTGCAATGCAAGTATGTCTATGGCACTAAATACAATGCAAAGATTCAGTTTTGTAGAATTGGGCCTATATGGTATATGGACTGCATTTATATAGCGCTTTTCTACTCCTACGAGTGCCTCACATTCACCCATCCACACTCATATTCACACACCGGTGGCAAAAGCTGCCATGCAAGGGGCCAACCTGCACACTGGGAGCAATTTGGGGTTCAGTGTCTTGCTCAAGGACACTTTGATGGGGATGGGAAAAACTAGGCCTCGAACCTACAACCCACTGGCTACCAAACGATAGCACTACCTCCTGTGCCACCATCTTCCCCCAAAGACCTATAGTTTTTAAACTGGGGATCAAGTGTGGGAGGGGTTTATTTTTTATTTATTACAGTATAAATTAAACAGTATTTTTCCTTTTAAAAATGTGAAATACGTGTAATTTGTCATTACTGGCGTTATGCGTAAAATAAAGTTTGGTTTATTAATTCAGGGATAATTTCTGTAATTTTACAGTGTTTTGCAGACAACTTTTAAAAAAGAGAAACTACTGTAAAAAATGAGTTATTTTCTGTAATATTACAATTTTTTTTTGTGTACTTTTATACTGCAGTACAAAGCATCATTAATTCTTATACCAACCATTATAATGTATTATGAAGGTATCTATAGTGCAGTAAAGATGAGAGGAACATTGGAATTGTACTTATTGTAATAATGTCTTGTGACTGCCAGTAGACCATATACCAACCATAATATGCATTATAGAGTGACGTTACATTATAGTGTGATGGTATAGTATGCCATTAGATAACAGCATGCTGAAACTGAGTTAATCAAACAAACTACACAGTGATATGCATTTTTGTCATGGACTCGGGTGGTTCTGGAGCGAGGGCGTGGCAAGGTGCAGGCTGGGAAGACAGTGGACAAACCACTGGCGGCTCAGGGAACATGGGGGTTTATTTACAGAGCAGAAAACACAAGAAACACTTACAAAACAAAAACAGACCACTAAGGGTCAAAACTAAAGAGGGGATAACAATGACTAACTACAAATGGATTAGGGCAACAAGGAGCAGGTAAGCAGGCAAAGTAAAAATAACACAACTGACATAGAACACTGACATACAATGACCCACCCAGGAAATGAACTAAGGAAGGAACCTAAATACACAACTGAACCAGGTAACGACACAGGAAGAGTGAGACATGAAGCAATTAACCAATCAGGACGGGGACAGGACACAAGGACTGGCACCTGTGACTTTAGGGTTTACTCTATTCCGTGAGACTTAAAGCTAATTGTGGTGATATATTTGAAGATGTGTTCAGCAGAAATCTATTAAGGTTTTGGTACGGTAACTGAAGGTACAATAGTGAATTAGCTTAAAAGTCATTCGTTAGACTCATTTGACGTCCATTTCATACTTCGCTCCAAATTAATTTCTCCACTAGCGACTTTAATTTAGTTTAAGTTTGCTTGATAAAATTGACACAACTGGTTTGCTAACTTTTTTTCAAGTAAACTAAACATTTTAATTTATTGTACACCTTTTATAGACTGAAAACCCCTTGCATTATTGGATAGACTGTCTTAATTGAGGTGTGCTGTCTTGTACTTTGTCAGTTGTGGAAGGCAATAAAATGGATTTCATTGATTTCCCCAAGTCCAGTGGATGACTTTTTGTCCAACTGAACAGTCAAATGTCGCTGCTGTACCAGCTCTCCCCAGGTCAAAGTGTAAAAAACCACAGTAACTGACAAACCATATTCTATTTCTAACTCTCTTTATTTTTAAGGGCTCAATGGCAATGCTTCTGTAGGAAATTGAGCTACGATTGGAAGACATCCACATAATCTTCTATGGTACAGTTTGGGTTCTGGTAGATGCTCATGTCCTTCAAGAAGACACCAGTCAAGAAGCAAAATAGCTGCTCCTAAGGATGGGACACAAAANGAAATCCTCTGCATAAAATTAGAGGAAATTAGCATTCTAATCAATAAACCACAAATAGGTGACGACTATATAAAATCTGTGAAGTATGAAGGCCGCCGTGATGGTTCAGTTTGATTTTACATGTAAAATTAGGCTTCGATTACAAGTATTGCTGTCCACGTTCTTAACGACAAAAGAAAATACTTATTCATTGGGAACCAGTCTTCAAGATACTATATGTGACTGTTTAAGGTTTATCCTATTCCCTGAAATTTAATTAAAGCTAATTGTGGCGACATATTTGAAGATGTGTTCAGCAGAAATCTATTAATGTTTTGGTACGGTAACTGAAGGTACAATAGTGAATTAGCTTAAAAGTCATTCATTAGACTTATTTGACGTCCATTTCATACTTCGCTCCTAATGAATCTGTCCACCTAAGATGTAGTAGAATATCCACTTTAAATTAGCTTAATTTTGCTTGGTAAAAATGAGACGGTTGGTTTCCTAAATTTTCCAAGTATAGCTGGCCCCCATTTAACGTCCTTTCGCGTTATCGGCCGTGGCCTGGAAAATGTAAAAAATATATATATATGTATATATTTCTTTTAATGCCGGACGTAGCGGCAGCTGCTTTTTAAAACGCGCGGGCAGGATGTGTACTGCTGAGGGAAATAACCGAATAAAAATGTGTTGTCTGTATGTTAGTGTTAAATAGCACAAGATGTACCAAGGATGTTTTATATATTTTTAAAGAAAAGGCCTGTTATACAAAAATAAATGTTCTATTTCATATAAAAAAAATCTTTCAATGCGAAACATTAAAATTGGCAAGCTACTACACACAATATGTGTTTGCTTTGCACAGTAAGGGGTTCATGTTTACTATGTACGGTGTTTTATGAAACATAGAAAATAATTATGCCGTTTAATTAGTTTCAAAACTCGCGCACATAAAAACCAGGAGGACATTAAACACCATAGATAATTATTGTGCTTCACTATACTAAATGTTTTCATATTTTGCTTTAATAATCTAAGGTGCAGTGGTTAGCATTGTTGCCTCGCACCTCTGGGACCTGGGTTCGAGTCTCCGCCTGGGTCACGTGTGTGGAGTTTGCATGTTCTCCCCATGTCGTCGTGGGGTTTCCTCCGGGTACTCCAGTTTCCCCCCACAGTCCAAAGACATGCTGAGGCTAATTGGCGTTGCTAAATTGCCTTTAGGTGTGCGTGTGTGAGTGTGCCCTGCGATGGGCTGGCCCCCCATCCAGGGTTGTTCCCTACTTCATACCCGTTGCTTCTGGGATAGGCTCCAGACCCCCCACGACCCAGTAGGATAAGCAGGTTGGACAATGGATGGATGGATAATCCATAAAAGTTTGAAATACAGCACTACCTGCAGAGTATCTGAACTACATAGTATGTTAATTAAGTCCATTTCGCAGTATGACTGTGGAGAATAGCCTAAACTGGAGGCTTTCATCCCACCAACCAGCTGGGGACGGTTTTCCTGTTTTATGGAACTTAATGCGGATGTTAAACGGGTTTTTTGTTTAAATCAAACATAAAATAATTTATTGTATGAATCTGTTTATTTTTACACCTTTTATACAATAAACATTTAGTAGACCGAAAAACCTGGCATTATTGGTAGACTGTCTTCATTGAGGTGTGCTGTCTTGTACTTTGTCAGTTGTGGAAGGCAATAAAATGGATTTCGATCACTGATTTCCCCAAGTCCAGTGGATGACTTTTTGTCCAACTGAACAGTCAAATGTCGCTGCTGTACCAGCTCTCCCCAGGTCAAAATGTAAAAAACCAAAGTAACTGACAAACCATATTCTATTTCTAACTCTCTTTATTTTTAAGGGCTCGATGGCAATGCTTCTGTAGGAAATTGAGTTACGATTGGAAGACATCCACATAATCTTCTTTGGTACAGTTTGGGTTCTGGTAGATGCTCATGTCCTTCAAGAAGACACCAGTCAAGAAGTAAAATAGCTGCTCCTAAGGATGGGACACAAAAAGTGTTCCAACCTTATATGATATGAGGGCTGAAATAAAATAACTTAGCTGTAAGTTTTGGGATGAGACATTACCATGAGCATCTCCCAGTGCTCTGCACCTCCACCGTCCCCAGCTGGTTGGTGGGATGAAAACCTCCAGCACTCTGGCCAAATGGACCAGAAATCCACCAGGCTTCTTTTGGAGGAGAGATTATGAAAGTTCAACAAATCAGTTGAATCTAGTTAAAATTTCATTGTCATTTTGCTTCTTGTAGATCCTGCATTGTGGTGGCATCTGCTTTTGATCAGAATCCAGAACAGGACGAATTCCAAAGCAGTTCAAAAAATTTGCAAGTAAATTTAAAATCTACCGAAAATCAGCACAGCCGCAAATAAATTTGTAATAAGAAATTGAACTAGCAAATCATGGCCTGTCCTCTGATGGCTATGGAAAGTTTTGTGCTTGTAAGAGAGAAGTGAAATTAAGAACAGACCTTCTGTTTGTTTTCAGGTAAATTAAGAATTTTTTAATTTAAATTAAGAAATTTTTGAAGATTTACATAATGTTTTGGTAGTGTTAGGAAATTCAATGTGCAGTATTTTATAAAGGTAAGGTTACATTTTGTGTTAACCAATGTTAACCGTATTTCTGACAAAGTTTGGCCATTTAGCTTACAGGCTACAGTGATTTTTCAGTCAGGACGAACGAGGCAGGCTGTGTTGTGAGAGCCGAGTCATTTCGCTCATAGTAAAAAAAATGGCACCCCCTACAAAATACATGTATTTGGGTAACAGACAAATAAGTTGATGAAAACAATTACCGATGTCGAGGTAAACTACGGAAAAAAATCATGCCAGTTATATTGCTGTTTCAGTTTATTTCCAGGTTGTGTATCAATACTTAGCGAACATTTGCAGCACATTTTAACTATACCGCGATAAAATCTGTACATTTAACCTTTAGACGACTAACCACTTTATTTTAGCTTAATTTTGCTTGGTAAAAATGAGACTTTTTCAAGATCCACATAATCTTGTATGCTCTTCTATGGTACAGTTTGGGTTCTGGTAGGTGCTCATGTCCTTCAAGGAGACACCAGTAAAGATGTAAAATAGCTGCTCCTAAGGATGGGACACAAAAAGTGTTACAACCTTATATGATATGAGGGTTGAAGTACAAATAATTTAGCTGTCAGTTGTCGTGATAAGATGTTACCATGAGCATCTCCCAGTGCTCTGCACCTTCACCATCCCCAGCTGGTTGATGGGCTGAAACCCTCCAGCACTCTGGCCAAATGGACCAGAAATCCACCGGGTTTCTTCTGGAGGAGAGATTAATTATGAGTGTTCAACCAATAGGTTGAATCTAGATAAAATTTCATTGTCATTTTGCATCTTGTAGATCCTGCTTTGTGGTGGCATCTGCTTTTGACCAGAATCCAGAACATGATGAATTCCAAAGCAGTTTGAAATATTAAAAATAAAAATCTGCTGGGAATCAGCACAGCCGCAAATAAATTTGTAATAGGAAATTGTACCAGCAAGTCATGGCCTGTCCTCTCATGGCTGTGGAAACTTGTGAACCTGCAAGAAAAGAAAGTGAAATTAAGAAAGGACCTTCTGTTTGTTTTCAGGTAAGTGAAGAACGGGTCATCAGAGCAATGGACTCTAACCCTAGTTCTCAGACAGGTCTTCATCAGTGGCCTCCTCCCAAGCTTCAACAGTAACAGGCTCCTCTAGGGACTCCGGGTCCAGTTGGTCTGATACTGAACAGTTAATGTAAGAACACTATCAGCTTCCGGCTTTTCTTACCACTCAGCTATGAGTATTGCTCAGTAACGTTAACTGTCATGTCAGCTAATGTTGTTGCTCATTCTTTGTGGAACAGCTTTGGTCTAAGTTGTTGGAACCTACATGAAATATCAAATTTAATTGACCTGGATGGATAATGATGAGCAAATCTGTATGCACACGGTGCTCTGAGACTTAAAAAGTGTTCCACATATGTAATATGAAATGAAATTATATTTTATTGTTCCCTGGGGGGGGGGATTCTCTTCACCTACCCCATCTTGCAACAAATGTATACATGTGTGTGTGTGTGTGTGTGTGTGTGTGTGTATATATATATATATACACACACACACACACACACACACACACACACACACACACAATATGTTATGACGGGACATTTAAAACCAATTGAAATACAACTGATAGAGGCGTTAGATATTTTACACACATATTAGCGACCACACTAACTATGGAGGTACCTTCTTCCCGCATCGCGGTTTGGTAGATCTGCCAGACGCAGTATACCATAGAGGTTGCTGCAGATAGAATACAGGCTGCGCAGAGAAAATCAGTTATTTCGAATTTCTGGAGTAATTTCAGAAACGCCATTCCTCAACTGTTGCAGACGAAATGAACGACTTCTTAGTTGCTGCCTTTATATACTCTCAACTACCACGGATTTGAATGGTGACGTACCAACAAGTTCTAAAATAGCGCTTTAATTTTCGCATCTTTTAAAAATGGTGGAAACGGGTGTGAGTACAATGTCATATTTCGAAATTGAAAAAAAAAGATTTGAAAGATTGAAACTGTGAAAGCTTGAAACATTTTGAAAGTTTTGCAAGATCGAAACTAATTTTTGAAGGTTTGCATAATGTTGGCTGAATTAACATAGCGCCAGGAGTTAATATCGGTGAGCTCTTGAATCTCTGCAACCCTGATTCCTGCAAAAACTATTCCTGGTGCTATGGTTCCTGCAGTGTCCAATCAAGACGGGTTTTAACTGCTGCTGGGCCACCCGGGGGACCAAGGTGGACTGGCTGCATCTGGTTCAGGGTGATCTGAACCAATGAGGAGTAAGGGGTGTGCCCACCTGAAAGGAGCTATAGGTATCCCTCTAAGGTGCACATGCCTTTCTTGTAAGGCCTTCACTGAATAGGTGTACTCTGCTAAACCCAGGTAGTCTGCTGTAAAGGCTCCATAAATCTTGAACCTTCTCTATGGGTTACTCATGGGTGAAACTATGAACTGCACAGAATAGCCACGCAAAGTCTGAATTTCTTGACGCACAGTTCGTAACTTCAGGTGTTCAGGGCTCCCACCTAATCCAAGCTGTTGTGCCGCGGCTGCAAGCACAATAGTGCGCTCTGAACCATCATCAAGGATGGCAAATGTTTCCAGGGCCCTCAGCTGCTGGTGCAGGATAACCTTCAGGAACACTTCAGTCCCATAGCAAGGCTGATCCAGGTAAAGTGCTTCTGTAATGGCATTGTAGAGACTACTGCTTTCCTTGCTGGCCTCACTGTTTCGTGTATTAATGTCATGAAGGGCCGATAAGTGCTTACCCTGGCAAAAATGGCAGGGCTTCTTAAGGTCACAGTCCTTTGTTAGGTGAGATCGAGAGCATCTCCAGCAGCGTTCGTTGTCTTTTATCCAGGTAATGGCCTGATCCTTGTTGAGGGCTGCAAATGAAGTGCACTGACTCAGGTAATGTGCTGTGGAGTTACAATGCGGGCAAGTGGGCTTGACCTTCATGGGAGGTTTGGGCTGGGCTGATGCAGTTTGGACTGTCTGACGTACTGTGCTCTGTTGCAGTATGGTTGTGGCCCTCTGAGTCCGAGATATGGCCGTCTGCTCCTTCACCTCTCCCTTTCCTCCTGTAGCCCTTGTGGGATCGAATTCCATGCAGTTGGCCTCCAACTGCAGCCAGTCTGCAAACCCAATAATGGAGAACTTTGCCTTGTCATGGCAGGTTAACCTGCGCAACAGACGCTGCACATTGGAACCACTATGTAGCTCCTCAATACCATCCTCTCTTAAGGCTTTGAGCATTCTTACTATGGCCTGAACACGGAGGGAGAATTCATCAAAGGCTCGTTCATCTCCTGTGCAAATGAGTGGTAGACTCTCTAAGGTCTCAATCTCTTTCAACACAAACTGATAGGGTCATCCATACCTTCTGCCTAGTGCCTGCAATGCGTTAGTGTAGGGCATGGAAGACTCTGCATATGCTAGGACGAGTCTGTGGGCATTAGGGACCTTCACATGCTTGAGGAGGATTGAATACTTATAATGCTCGGAAAGAATGGGGTGAAGAAGATTGCTCAAAGCTATTCTAAATTCAACATATTGAACCCTGTCTTCCCTTGTGAAATCTGGAAAGGTGGGCTCCTCAACTAATGGGAATCCATGAGGGGGGAAATAGGCAGGGTAATAAGGCATAGGATTGACATTAGATTGAAGGGGATCCTGAACTGCTGACTGAACAAGGGGAGTGGTGTTGCAGTTGGGGCAGGCTGCACATGGAGCTCAGGACCCAATGGAGAAGGGGGGTTTGGAGCATATGCCTGTTCTGGCTGGTAGGAGGACTAGAAGTGGGGTTGCACTGATGGGTCCTGCTTCCATACTGGACGTAAGGGCAATGACTCTTTACTCTGATATGGTCAGATCCTCTCTGTAACTGAGGTATGGCATGGTGATGTGTAGTAATGCTCAGAAAGGGATGGGTCTCTGCTTATAGGAGGTGGAGAGGGGAATTGGGTGCTACTCAGGTGGGGACTCTGCAGAGCCAGTGGAGGTGGTGGCGTATGAGGCAGGTTTGAACATACATCATGCGGGCTTGGATCTAATTGTAGTGGGATTGGGGCCTGAGGCGTCTGGTGAGATGATGAAGCTCTGGAGGACTGGCAGGATACCCTTGGAGTGCCGTGCAGAAGCACTTGCTCCAAGAGTTCTGTCTGGCGCCAAGCTGTCTCACTCTGCTGCCTTGTGATCGCCACAATCTGCTGCATAAGGTCATCAGTTGGACTGGTCATGTCCTCGGACTACTTAGGACTAAGGGAAGTTGGTGTAGCCATTACTGGTTCACTACGTCTGACTGAATCTGTGGATGGCTCACCGGTATAGCTGACCAGGTAGTCATCAAAGCGTGCTGGCCTCTGCGTCACTCTGCCTGGATGCTGACAGGAAGTAGGTGCGGAGCTGGAGGTCCTGTGCCCTGGGAACGTCATGGTGACAACCCATCGGGCTCGAAGGACCACTTTGTAGGTGAGGCTCTGCACTAGTTCAGGTGGAATTTGTTGTCGCCATGGGGTATCGATAAGAACACTCTTAGGACAGGGCACATCCGATGCTTACTCTTTAATGAGGATTTATTAACTTCCGTATGAGTCTGTATTGGTCTGTATACTGTTGGATCTGTGTGGTATGAAACAAACAATATAAATACATAAAAGGACTTTCCCCAGTAAAGTACAGCCTATGCAATAACAATGACAAATAACAACACTAAAAGTTCACGCTACAGTATCTGTACAAGAGATACAGAGTACATGTAAAATATTCAGGCATAACACAACAGCAGGATCACAAATTACCAATAAACAACAGAGCCATAATAACATAAACTTTACTGCAGCTTACTCCTAACACAATTACTATTCTACAATCTCTGTACCTAATATACTATAACACGGCAATACAGCCTTCAATAAACAATTCAATTTACGACTCTGCGCCAAACGATAAACTAAAATGTGCTTTCTTTCTATAATTAGCTAACGGAACAAGTTAAATATAGGAAACTTACTTTATATCAAGTTACACACACGAGGAATTAAGGAAGACTTCACAACTAAATAAACTATCTTTAGAAACTAACACGCTTAGGTTTGTTTTGCCTCGTTCGCAGCTCTGAAGCTCCGCACTCCGATAGGCTGAAAAATCGCGAGATCTGTGATTAGCCTATGGAAAGTCTTAAAGGCACCTCATCCTCCATCGCTCTTGTACATCGTCATCAACACAATGTGCAGGCACATATGTAAATGAAAACAGTTGCAAACATGCAAAACGGGGGACAGGGGAGGTGGCGGGGGGAAATGTACATAGATTGGAAATACGTTATGTCACGTGCATTATACATAAATTATTCATACATATATAAGTTAGCCATATTTACATTATACATAAGTTATCTAGATATACAAAAATTAAATGTACAGGCTAGATACAAATGTGCGTATTAACATATACATACAGATACTGTATACATATCAGCATGTCTCCATAGATGAGGTAGTGTCTGAGGTAGTGAAATGGAGCTGAATAGTGCATGGTGGACAGTATACATCACAAATGGAAGATACTGGACTTTTGTGCGGCTTATGGATGTTCCAATGAAAGAAATGATAAAACTAAACATCAATCATTTAAAAAATCAATAATATAAATCAATGGTGTAGGTGCACCACCCGTGGAGGCTATGAGCTTCGAGTATAAACCTGCATTCCAAGATCAAATGTGTCACAACAGCAAGACAAGGCCATGCTGTTTCGAAGCCTCCTTCAGATACAGCCTAGAAATGCATTATTCTTTTGCCAAGATCCCAAGATTCGTTGCGCGAACCTTTGAAAGACGCAGCCTACAAAGGCTACGTAGCCTGCGACCTTCGAAGGATGCAGCCCCTGCATTCAAACACAGCTCCACTCTCCCTCTGCGCAATGAATCTTGGGCAGTGTCCGAATCTTGGGCTGGGACACCACCCTCTGCACCTACTCTGTGCAGCGAGTGGTGGGAGCAGCGCATTCAGTCTGCAAAATAGCTGATGTAGACGAGCATGAGCTGCACATGTGCAAACTGTTGCCAAGGGCCAATCACTAATATCACGTATATGTATTATTTCGTCCTCCTTTGTATTAATTTTAATTTAATTATTTCCCCATTATCGCACAGGGGTTTGGTTCATTTCTGTTTCTGAACCCGTTGAATTCAGATAATTCATTTAGGTCTGTAAATTGTTCTTTATTCAAACTTAAACCTTTATTAAACTTATATGCACAGTACAAATATACTGTAAATACAAAATCACACAGCCACATGGAAAATGACACAAATATGATTAAAGAAAAGCTTCCACTGTCTGGGATGTACTGGAAGCCCAACCGTGACTCATCGTAAGAGGTTAGAGGATGGATGGATAATTTTGACATTACAAGATTAAAAATTGCTCCAAATTCTGCAGATGTACAGTCGTCACCTTTGGTTGATTATTTATTTATCTGTTGGAGTATGTTCATTTTCAATAACTTTAAATGTAAGTTACATCTACAGTCAGCCCTTGTGCATTCGCGCTTCGTGATTCGCAAATTCATAGATCCGTTAAAATTTCATTAGAACCGAACTTATTTGAACTTATTCTCACGTCTGCAAAATGCTCAAAACCCTACAGAAGTGTTTATGTTTAATTTTCGTAGTAATTTATAAGTTTTCATGCTTTTAAGTGTAAAATTGATAAGAAAAAATTAGTTACTGAAGATTCTACTGTGTTTTTGGGGAAAGTTCAAAACATACAATATAAATCAGTAAAAAAAAAAACCCTTAAAAACATGGCTTTCTTATGGAAACGTTCCTTTTTATGTTCATACTTTTACAAGATGCGAATCCCATTCGCAAAGTTTATTCTCTAATGGTTACATAAATATTAGAAAATAGTTAATTTACTATTTTGCAATGGTAATAGAATAGAATAGAATTCAACTTTATTGTCATTGCACATGTCTGTTATGAATATGCTATAACTATATTTATAATACAAGTTATAAACAGTTGTAGAATTATAATTTCCGTACTGTACAAAAAAATGATTGTTTATACAGCATTTACAGTAGTGCAGTTAGGTCAGGAGGCAGAGTTCAGGAGTCTGACAGCTGTAGGGAAGAAGCTGTTCCGGTACCGGGTGGTCTTAGTCCGGAGGCTCCTGTAGCGCCTCCCAGAGGGCAGGAGAGTGAAAAGTCCATGTACTGGATGACTGGGGTCTTTGATGATTTTCCCAGCCCTATTCAGACACCGCTTCCTGTAGATGTCGTTTATGGCAGGAAGTGGTGCTCCGGCGATGCGCTGGGCGGTTTTCACTGTTATACAGTCGGTCAGGATGCTCTCGATGGCGCAGCGGTAGAAGTTCACCAGGATATCTGAGGACAGGTGGTTCTTCCTCAGAGTCCTCAGGAAGAAGAGGCGCTGGTGAGCCTTCTTGACCAGCATGGAGCAGTTGATCGTCCAAATGAGATCCTCGGAGATGTGGACACCCAGGAACTTGAAGCTGCTCACACACTCCACAGCCGTCCCTTTAATGTAGATGGGTGGATGTGGGTCAGCATTCCTCCTGTAGTCCACGATGAGCTCCTTGGTCTTCTCGGTGTTAAGCAGCAGGTTATTGGTGTCGCACCACTCAGCCAGACGACCCACCTCCTCCATGTAGGCGGCCTCATCGTTATCATTGATGAGGCCAATCACCGTGGTGTCATCTGCAAACTTAATGATGTACACATTAATATTCATCATTGGTGAGTACCCATACTACTGTTTTTTATTACATATTTTTAATGTGTGTATGTATTTTTGTTCTCTCTCTTTTTTGTGGTTAGCGCACACATAGTATTTTTACAACTTATTGTTTCTTCTACTTGAGATATGGGTATAGATACTGATTTACTGTAAATACATGGTTAATTAATGTATGATTAATGTGACACCTACTTATACATTTGTGCTACCGTATAACATATTGCGTATGGCCTATTGCGACTACTTCATAACTACAACTCTCTGTGCACCAGTTGGGGCAGCTTCGAATCCCTTCCTGCAGGTAGCTTCCCCCCCCCCTCCGCTGCCCATCTTTCCAAGGTCTTCAGGGCCTGCAAAACTGGACCACGTGCAGGCTACCGTGAGACAAGGACACACAGTATCCAAAACAATCTCTTTACCTGGAAGTAAAAGATTTTGGGAAAACATAACTGCGTGTTTGGTCTTCTTCATGTTCTATGCCTTTGGGCTACATAAATTATTTCATTGGTCAGTACATTTATTTTATTCTAAACAGATACACAGCTGGCATTTAATTAATGTAAAACTAGAGTAAAATGTTAAGAGTGTACACTACTGGCTAATCGTCGCATAATGTTTGCTCGATTTAGTGAGAGCACGCCAGGCGTGATCCGTGCAATTTCTCTCTGTCAGACAGGATGTAAGCGTTCTGTCCGTCTCATTTTCACTTCCATTGGCTGTAAGAGCTTTGGATATCCTTTGGAGACGTGCCATATAGGTTTGGCAAAGACTTTCCCCCCCGTATTTCAGAACAGACAAGTGTGCTGTGCGATTGCTGTTATTCTCTATTTTCATTTGGCCTCTGCAAGCTCAGCGTTCCTGCGAGACTAGGTCTAGGAGGTAGAGTGTCAGCTCAAGTGAGCACTGAAGACCAACCTAAGGCTATTCGCTGTGTTAACGGTGCTCCCACCTAGCTGTGTCAAATGGACCTGCCACATCCATCGTCACTTTTTTCCAGGGCTCAGCTGCAAATGTTGCCGGCTGAGGATGAGCAGGAGAGAGCTTGACACGTCTGTGAGAGGGCTGACACAGCTGACAGGAAGGGATTATTTGTTTGACTTGTGTATCCGTCCGTGACTTGCAGTATAATTCGGGCCGGCATTGCTGGGTACCCTGCTGACCCTTGTGATCCAGCATCACCAGAGAACACTGTCACAGTGAGTTGTGATCCCCTGGAAATTGGGCAGCCTTTCACATACACTTCATGTGACATCCGGTAGAATGACGGCAGCCATGGTAAAGCATGCAGTTCAGAGCGGGAGCAAGCCTTCCTCTCTGCCCCTTACTCCATTGCCGTGTCTGAATGCGGGGGCTGCATCCGTCAAAAGCTGCATTCGAAGACCAAATACTTCACAGTAGCATGACAAGGCTGTCCCATTTCAAAGGCTCTTTCATATGCAGTCCTGAAATGCGTTCTACTGGATCCTACTCAATGGATATCTGGATCCCGATATTCATTGCGCAGAGGTAAAGTGGGTATGTCCTGGCTACTCAAGGGTAATGGTGAGAACAGCTGGTGATGGCCAGACCATCCCATTTGGCAACGCTTTCTGTTCGACCTTCAGAGAACGCACGGTCAAAGGATACATGTTCTCTAGACCACATCCTTCGAAGGATGCAGCCCCTGAATTCAGACACAGCTCATCTCCCCATCATCTGACATAATGGCACTGTGTACTGCAGTCTTCCATTACTTTTTAGTCCATCTTGGTGATGACCTTGGCCTGATTTTTAGGGCATGCTTTAAATTAGGGATGGGCCAATCCGCATTTTCTCAGTTCCAATCTGATTCTGCTACATATTCCGTTACAAGAGCTCTTTTTATTTTAACATTTTAATATAATAAATATATACATATATATATAGGCTACTTTATATAAATATTTTTGAACTAGTAAATACAGATGAAAGATGTATGCCAAAAAATCTTTAATGAGACTACTACAAACATATATAACGTACTGTTCCACCTCATTTGTACATCTTGTTTTAAGCATTTTTGAGGCATTTGCAGTTCAATATGAATATCTTCTAAGCAAATATACGCAAGTGTCGTATGCTGAAAATTCCCCACAATGTTTCTCCCATTGGCAGTATCACTCGCATTGTCTTGCACAGTAGCGTGCGATTTGTTTAGTAGGATTTTCCACTAAACGCTACTCCCACCTCTCAAAACTTTGTTTTTCAAAGACTGCAACTCGCTGTGCAACTAGTTGCTGTTAAAAGCATAAAATACTGTACTTCTAGGTTCGTCGCCCTCTGATGTTTTTATACGCTCCTCGTACTGCGAAGGATATGCGCATGACGTCACAGTAGGCGGAAGTCACTCCACTTGT